CAAGATATCCTTTACCCTTCCTTCAAAATTTGAGATTCTCTGAAAATAAAAGTGACCTTGGAAAAGCATACAAAGCAATTGTTGCTTAGGTGGAGACATCAGCAAACAATTTCTAATCACTTCATTCTTAAAGGGTAAAATTTTCTAAAATTTCTAACCCACATTGATCCTTCAATACCCTAAGTTATAGAATTCTTGAAAACAAAATGTTTACAGATGTAAAGTATTTAGTCTAAAGGTATCTTTAGCTATTTCAACTGATTGATTTAAATTCCAAACTAATAACCAATGTGGGAGGCTAAAGATCACACATTAAATTATTATTCTATACATTATTATAGTACTGACCATATTGATTAAAAAAGGAGTAAATTCTCAGAAAACAGTGATTTTTCTGTTCAAACTTAAATTATACTCTTTAACAGGAATCTCAATATAAATATGAGTAACATGTTTTGAATAACTGCACTTTACTCATGCAACCAAAAGCTAAAGAATGAAAGGAAACTATCAAGTCATTTCATGTAAAGATATGTGTAAGTCCTCAGCATTGGCACAGAGGTTAATAACGTCAAGAGATTTACTTACAGACAGAGCCTTTAGCAATGAAAAAAAAAAATGTTGAGAAATGTCCATTTTGAAAAGCTGCACAACTTATCAATAGTAGTTTGTCACACACTAGAAGCTTTTATTCAAAATTAAGCTATATAGGCTATAAACTCTTAGTAATAAGATGAATAAATTCTGAGGATCTAATGTACAGCATGGTGACTATAGTTAATAACATTATATTGTATACTTGAAATTTTCTAATAGAGCAGATATTAAGCATTCTCATGAGAAAAACAACACACACACAAGGTAAAAATACTACGTGATGTGATGCATGTGTTAATTCATTTGATTGTGGTAATAATTTCATAACATATGTATATCATAAAATGATATTTTATTTATTTATCTTGAAGATTGTATACTGTAAATAATATAATCTTATTAGTCAATTATACTTTAAAAAATTAAACTTTATTTAAAAATCTTCACTCTAGACTGTTCATAGTATTGTGTTTTTATTGCATAATACTTATTTTAGTATTATAAAAAATTTTTTATTTACACCCATAATATGTAAAGAACTATTACTTCAGTTGGTATGATTACATTTAATTCAGCCAGTAGATTCCTTTCGTTATTTCTCTGTATAAAGTAACTTTCTGTCTATGACCCTTGTTCTATAAAAAAATAAAATCAAAATTTAACTATGCCTTCTTTAATTTTCAAAAACAATGGAGAAAGAACTCTCAATATAATCTATTTAAAGTTAAGTCCGTTTGAACTTCTGAACCTTTAAAAAAATGGCTCTGCTTAGAACTGCAAAGAAACAGTGTTTTTTTCAGAGTTTTAACTTAGTATAACATAAAGGCCAAAAAATGCATACATAATTAAATTAACAAATAACTGCATTTTTCTCAATCTGTTATAGATCTGTGTGTGTGAGAGAGAAAGAGAGATCACAATCTCAGATAAATCAAGATATTGACCCTTTTTTAAAAATCTAAGACCAAATTCTCAGAAGTACTGATCTCTCCTAATAGTGAAGAAAAAAAAAGTAAGTTTTTCGGCCAGAATGTCAGGATTTGAAACCAGAATCCATCATTAAGTAAACTTCCACAAGTTACTTACTCTCTCTAAACTTCAGTTTTCCCACCCGTAAAGGGGGGGTTGAATTATTATTTATCCTTAAAAAATCATGATACTTTAATGAGATAAAGCATCTAAATCATTATGAATTTATACTTGGCATATAGTAAGCACTATGTAATTGTTTTCAATTACTATTCATTAGTAGCATCTGCTTGCTCATAGTCCATTTTATGATAATAGCTCTGGACAGGCAAACAGGCCACTTAAAGAACAGAATGCAAAGCAGATTTTCTTTACCATGAGCTTTCCTTGTATCCAAATTCTCCACAGAATGTTATCCCTACAAAGGAAAAAGCTCCCATTGGCCATGGCCCTTTCCTGTGTAGCAAGAATTGCTAGCTGGAAGTCGGGATTACAATGTGTGGCTATGTTTCTGACACTCTGCAATTATATGGTCTAGAGTCCAGTGATGGCGAACCTATGACATGCGTGTCAGAGGTGACACGTGAACTCATTTTTTTGGTTGATTTTTCTTTGTTAAATGGCATTTAAAGATCCTATCTAATAAAAGACAAAAAGGGTAATTAACCATACCTCCGCTACGCTTCCCCTTAGCTAATCAGCGAGATATGCAAATTAACTGCCAACAAAGATGGCGGCCAGCAGCCACACAGCTGAAGTGAGCAGGAGGTTTGCTTGCTCCAGTGATGGAGAAAGCCAAGGTTCCCCACCTGCCATGGCCCAGCTCTGAGTTCCAGAAGCAACAATGTTTCAATTATAGAAGCTAAACAAACCCCAGATACCTACTTTCAGCCAGCCGCGGCCTCAGAGCTGGGAGCGCCAGTGAGGGCAACAGAGTTTCAATTATAGAAGGTAAATAAATCCCAGAATAAAAAGAAAAAAGAAAAAAAGGCGAGGCTGGGAGCTTCAGTCGCAGGCCAGCCTGAAAACGGCCCTCAGCCCCTCACCCAGACTGGCTAGGAACCCCAGTGGGGACCCCCACCCTAAAGGGGGTGTGGCCAGCCTGAAAACAGCCATCAGCCCCTCATCCAGGCTGGCCAGGCACCCAAGCGGGACCAACACCCTGATCCGGGACACCCTTCAGGGCAAACCAGTCGTCCCCCACCTGTGCACCAGGCCTCTATCCTATATAATAAAAGGGTAATATGCAAACTGACCCTAAAAGACTGGGAATGACTGGTCACTATGACACACACTGACCACCAGGGGGCAGACGCTCAATGCAGGAGTTGCCCTCTGGTGGTCAGTGCGCTCCCACATGGGGGATCTCTGCTCAGCCACAAGCCAGGCTGATGGCTGCCAGTACAGCGGTGGTGATGGGAGCCTCTCCTGCCTCCTCAGCAGCGCTAAGGATGTCCGACTGCAGCTTAGGTCTGCTCCCCGCTGGCAAGTGGACATCCCCCAAGGGCTGCCGGGCTGCCAGAGGGATGTCTGATTGCCATCTTAGGCCCAATCCCCCGGGGAGCAGGCCTAAGCCAGCAGGTGGTCATCCCCTGAGGGGTCCCAGACTTCGAGAGGGCACAGGCCAGGCTGTGGGACACCCCCCCCCCCAGTGCACAAATTTTTGTGCACCGGGCCTCTAGTATAAAATAAATACCAAAAATATAAGTCTTTGTTTTACTATGGTTGCAAATATAAAAAAATTTCTATATGTGACATGGCACCAGAGTTAAGTTAGGGTTTTTCAAAATGCTGACACGCTGAGCTCAAAAGGTTCGCCATCACTGGTCTAGACCTATGGTACAGAACAAATCAACCAGGACTTATGAGGTAGAGATCCATATAATAGTGGTTTCTAAACCAGTGGTCTGCAAAATCAGGGAGGAGGAGGGGAGGATTTGAACATGTGCCCTGAAAATAATATACAATTAATGTATATGACCTAATGTACTGACAAAGTACACTATAAAACATTCTGAAGAAAGAATGAACAGCAGGTCTGAACCATTCTCCAACACTTCCCCTGGGAACACCTGAGATTAAGATAAATGGGGAATGCCAGATGTGTACCAGGCAACACTATTTCTTATTGGTGGAATGCATCTGGACCAGAAGGTTCTGTGAGTGAATTATAAAATCATTTTAGGACTCACAACCTCAGCTTCGTATGTGCAGTGTGTTCTAGCAACTGAAGGGATCCCTTGAGGAGACCTGGGCTGTTACCAAGATACTGGCTCCTGTGGAATGTGAGCCTTATCTAAGGCAAAGTAGCCCATGTCTATCCATATGGTCTTGTCATCTTAAAACAGAGTTACTACATTGGGTGTAAGGGAGGGGAGATGGAAAATGGTTTCTGAACAATAATAGAGACTCCCACTGAAGAGGCACCTGGCTTTATCCTGTTGACATTCTGTGTTGCCTGCCCTGCATCCTTCTGCTACACGAAGTGAATGTCACCAGACAATGGCTTACTGTGTCATATTGGTGTGAGTGTCGAGACAAAAGTAAAGTCCACTCTGGTGATCATGCAGATGTATACATCCACAAAAAATATACCACTTTCTTCCTCTAATGGATTATTTTAAGCACCATACTTTTTAGAATACTGCCTGTGTCCACATACTTTTCAGAACAGTTGGGGTATATTCTTTGTAACAAGCTTAGGATACTTTCCTTTTTCCCTGTGTGATTTTTTAGTGTTTTGACACATCCTTGTCTTTGGTCATTGTAAATCTTTGGCTCATTGCAACTATTATTGCCTCTAGGCCATTTAAAACTAAAAACTGTTAACTCCATCATTACAAATTCCACAGTAGTGAGACATAAGGAATTTCTGGAAATACAAATACTAAAATATCTTCTGGAAGTTCTTTACTTCTTATTTTCTTAAAGAAGTTATCAGGATATAGCTATAGGGGCTTTAAAAATTATAAACCAAGGGAAAATTTTAATATAGTTTTTAATATAGTTTTAATATAGTTTTCTACTAGTTCCATTAAACATGCTATGCTAAAAATAAAATTATTTCTTCCATTCTTGACACTACCCTCAATTTCAAGTAACCAAATAATTTACCACTCCCAATGAAAATTCCTGCAGATGTATCTTTCATTACCCCATTTTTAAAATTATTTATTTTATTGTATTTTATTGTTTAAGGTATTACAAATAGTAGTACATATGTCTCCCTTTTTTTTCCTATTGACTTCCCCCGGCCTCCCCTTACCTCCAGCACTTGCCCTCACCACTCCCACCCCCCAGTGTCTTGAGTCTGTTGGTTGTGCTTATATGCATGCATACAAGTCCTTTGGTTGATCTCTTACTCCCCACCTCACCCTCCCCTACCTTCCTGCTGTAGTGTGACATGGTTTTAAAAAATATTTTTTATAACTTACCCTGAAACATGCAACATCAGCAGCATGTAGAAGACAAAGAAGAGATTATGAGTGTACCAGAAGATGTCATAGTTAGAAACTCTGAAAAAACAAAAAACTTAGTTTCAATGCCACTTCATATTCCATCTCACTGAAAAGAGTGTGTGTTTCAAACATGTCACAATTGAAAGTTCAAATATGAGATCATCTGAGATTTATCTGTCAAAGGATTTACATACCATGCAAAGACAACTGACAAAAAATTATACATAACACTATCATATTTTTGTATTTGAAATAAAGACACATGAAAAAATTAAAATATGGTTTACTTTAAAGATATGATGTAAGGCTAAGGAACAGTTATACTTGGCTCCTATGATTATTTGCTGTCCTTTCTATAAATATTCTCCATTTTCAAGTAACTTCTAAAACAACTAATGTTCCTATCACAATAAATATTTTGAGAGTAGTTTAAAGAAAACTCAAGTTTAGAGAAATTAAGGAAATGCTCATTAAAGTTTTATATTATTTTCCTGGACAATGTACAACCTTGGTGCTACTGTCCTGCAGGAGAACAAGGAGCCTGAAAATAAAGGAGTATGATAAACACAATCTCTAGAATGTTTGAGACAAGTAAAAAGAAAACTAACAGTTATTTTATTTCATATGTCCGGGAGGATATTAGTGTATTAGAATCTTAGAGGTGGAGGGCAGATATTTGTAAAAACTCCTGAGAAAATTTGAATATAACCCTTAGATCCTTTTAGAAGCCTTGACTTAAGCAGTGGCCAATTGATTCACATTTATTTAATTCAGTTCCTGCTATCACCAACAAGGTCATTAAACACCCTTGTCACATATGCCTTTTGCACATATCTAATTCTTTTATCATTTAAACTCCTATGAGTGGAATCGCTAGGTCAAAGGGTACACATATGCAAAGCTTTTGACACACATTGTCCATTGCTCTCTGAAAACATGTTTATAAATTACAAATCCAACTTTAAGAGTGTCTTTTTCCTCAAACCCATGCTCCACTTATAAGTTTTCATTACTTTGGATAAGTGGAATTGGGTATTATTTCATTAGTGTGTTACACACTTTTAATTCTATCACTTATCAATTCATAATAATTATCCATTTCTATAGTGAATTTTCCTCAATCGTTGTGAGTACACTATTCAAAATTTAAGACTGTACTAGTTCCACATAACTGTAATAATCTGTCAAATAACATGTTTACATTTCAATTTTTATAACGTATGTTGTTTTAGTTTACCTATTTTTAGAAAGTCAGATATTTTCTGTATTTTTCTTGTCCATTATGAGATCTGATAGAGATTTAAAGTTTCTTCTAAATTTTTAATGGTGTGATTTTTTAATAGCTAACTGTAAATTATCTTGAATTTCATTCACTTACTCTTTTTTTTCATCATAAGTTTGTGACGGCACCTTTATTATTTAGTAGGTTCTTATACACAACGAAGTGTCTTAACAAGGCTTTCTATCGTCTCTATCATTGGTTCAATGTCTTGGTTATTTTTGCAAGTTCTATCTGCTTTCAGTTATGGAAGCTTAATCACTTTAATGTTTAGTGAGCCTCATACCCCCTTTTATTCCTCTTTGGGAACACGTGCTTGGATATTCCCTCAGATGAACTTTAGGATTACTTTGCTAAATTCAATAAGCAAACAGCATAACCTATCTTGGATTTTGACTGGAATTGCAACAAACTTATAAAATAATCGAGGAAGAACTCCATCTTTGCATTATATAGTCTTTATTCAAATCTCTACTGATTTCTCTCAGTGAGGTTATGTTTTTTCTCTATCACTTTCACTTAGTTTCTTCATAAACTTATTGGTAGATATTTTATGTTTTTGTTAAAATTATTAGTGCTATCTTTTTATTTTACTCAATTTTCAAACTGATAATAGCTATTATAAAAGAGATTTTTAAACATGTGTTTTGTAATCATTTACCCATTTTAACTCCTTTAGTTGATATAAATAAAATTTTCCATAATCCTCTTGAATCTTCTGGCTAGGCAATTATACCTACCTTTTTGGAAGTAATGATAATTTGTTGTTGCATTCTTTCTAATAATTCTAAATGTTTAATTTAGAATTTAATAATTCTAAATGTTTAATTTCTTATCATAATGCCATCCTTTAAAGAAATTAAAAACATCACTTTGTCTGTTTCATGATTTTCATAGGAATGTATCTCATATTTCACTGTAAGTATGAACTCAGTTCTGGCTTTTATACTTTTTAATTCTAAAAAGGAAATTAACTTTTAATTAACTCTGATGAGAGTTCAGATTTAACAACTGCCATTTCTAAGTCTATTGAGATGAGAAAATATTTTTGTATTATTGTCCTCTGTTAGACAAATATATTACTTATATTAATAATTGACCCATGTTGAACCATTGGTGAATTACTAGACTACAATCAATGCCAGAAATCAAATAGTGAAGTCATATTTATTCACCTGATTTCTCTAATGTTTTATTTCCTTACTAGTAAAGAGAAAAAGTAAAAGATTATTTCCATGATCCATTTAAGAATTTCATTATTCTCAAAATGAAGCTTGAAGAAAAGCAGAGTTAGTTTTATAATCTCTTTTAAACAAATGAAAACATTAACAATTAAGACACAGTCACCAAATTATTTACATAAAGGCTCACTTGAGAACAGAAGGTGATCTTTATATTCCTTTCTACAACACTATCTCTCAATTATGGATTCTTTTTCTAGGTATAGAACATTTACATATCCTTAATCTTATAAGTAAATATGTTAGATACCCTAATTTTTCTTCAAGAGCTCCTAAAACTGAAAAAGTAAGTTTTTGAATTATTGACCTAACTAAAATTAAATCTCTCCCACAAAATCGGCACCCTGCTGCACTAATGTTAGAGGATTTGCCTTTCTGTAAGGTGATTTTTAATTCTTATAAAAAGTCATAAAAATGGGCTTACCATTTGACAGCCATTCTCTATCTAAGAATTTTTCCATAGGACATAATTAAAAAGTATGCAAAGAATTATGGAGACTGTGTTTGTCTCACAATTGAAATACTGAAAAAATGGAACCAACCTGAAACATACAAAGATAGGGGGCTGGGAGAGTAATGTATATCTACATGGTAATATGCTGTGCCAATAGTAAAGAGAAAAAATGTTCATAACAAGATTTAAGAAAAAAGAGTTTTAAAATAGCACATATAATAAAATGGTCCGATTTTGGTAAAATGCAGACTTGAAAGACAGAGATCAGGAGTGTGAAAAGGAGAGAAAAAGAGTGACTTTGGTAGATGTATAACATGGGGCATGAGTGAGTAAAAGCAGGAAGAATGAAGTATACAGACATAATACCAGGAAGTGTATAGTGTTAATCTGATTGGTGAGTTCGCTTGTGAGATTTTAAGGTGTGCGTTTGTGAGCATAGATGTGTTCAGAAGTGCAAAGATAGACTCATCTGAGCATGGTGTGGGGGACAATTACTTTCAAAGTGTGTGTGTGTGTGTGTTTCCATTATATTTCACACCTCAATAATTAGAATGACTATTTTTGAAGATTATATATTGTTTCTTCTTTTTGCTTTCTTAAGCAAGAAGTTTCACCAGTAATGTAAGATACTGTAAAATATTGTGTAAAACAGATGTATCCACCAGAAAGAATATGTGAAAGTGTTCATAAAAATGTGTGTCTGCAATTGCTCAAAATCTCGTAACTAGAAGAATACTGTGAATGCAGCTATTTCTGATTATTTTAGCAGATGTCAACTAACCATTTCTCCTCAGCTTTGTTTGGAATATTACATTAAATTACAGCAAAACGAACTCATAGCAGGAAATGAGTTGTAAACAAACTGTAAGTGCTATGTTCCTGTGCGTACATGTTTAATTCAATCCCATGTCTCATAGACATGATTCTCCAGAAGAACGCTCCTGGAGAACTTAAATTTCTTTGTCTTAAAAAGTCTCCATACACAATTCCTTACCAACCTAGACTATTTGACTAAAACAGAGATTCTTTTTTCCAAAACAGGAAATGATGTATATAGAAATGTCTTTACATCACTCTTTGTGACCCACAATAGTCTATTCATCGGAATACTGCACCGGCTAAGCATTCTGGCTAATCAAGAGTTTTTTTACACATGAAAATGAAGATAATCTGAAGAAAATGAAATAATCTGACCCATAAATATTGAGGTCATTGCTCTGACACTCACCGGATAGCATATGTAGAAGCTGTAATCATCAGGAACAGCACCAATACCATAAAGACGCCTGTCAGGCCAGGAACTATAAAAATGTACATAAATATTTAACATAAGTCATACTGAGAAAAAAAAGTACAAAAATCATTGTCTTAACATCGAAAGTATTATGCTGCTCTCTGGGAAGCCCAATTCAAATCAGATATCTCCTTGTATATCTTCTCTCAAAAGAGCACTTTTTTAAATTAGCACAATTTCAAGGAACTTAAGACAAAATAGTCCTTTCTACCTTTAATAGAGGGTTTGTTTTTGTATTTTCATATATTCTACAGGTACCTACTATATTAACTGCTAGTAATTAATACATGGGACAGGATTGATATTCAACACCCTTACTGGTTTGGTTATCCCTATCATGGCAGTAAACTCCTATTCTCTCCTCCCCTCTTTTATGTAACTAGCAGCTCCTTCCATTTTAATTTCAAATAATTTCTTTTAGGCTTCTTATCTAGAATGAATTTTAAAAAATAAAGAAAACCTAAAAATTCCTAAAAACCACAACTTCAAGTGTAAAACAAAAAATATTGGAATTCAAGAAAAAGAATGACAGTGCTGATGTTTTCAGAACACTTGCAGAAATATTTCTTCTAGTAGGAAAACATGCTGAAATCAGTCCTTCTGATATGATATAACATTTTTAAATGTGAAAACATGTTAGTTTTTTTCTCTTTTCTTATTGCTTAAAATATTACAACGAGTAGTACATTTGTCTCCTTTTTACCCCTTGACCTTCCCCCAGCCTCCCCTACCCTACAAATCCAGTGTTAGCTCATATAGCATGTCTAAAATGAATAGCTCAATATCAAAAAGAGCTAAAACCAAAACATTCTCATCTCATGTTATCTTTTTATTGCCAAATAATCTTGTCTATAAATTACCTTTATTTACTCTTAAAATCATATAAGCAACAGTAACTTCTAACTGTCCTGAGAGATTTCATCTTAAATCCTCATAGAAAAGCTAATGAAACAATTCTGTCTCCAAAAGTATAGATATCTCTCCACTTCTCTGCTTTGCCAAGGAACCACCTATGAAACAGAAGGGCCATCATGGACTGTAGCAGAAGCAGAGAAGCTGGGTACAAAGTAAGAGCAATATGGTACATTACTGTACTAGGATTCCAGAGGATTAGAATCTTTGAAAAATTTAGAAATCTCAGTAGAAATAAGTTTCTACATGTATAGGGCTATATGAGAAATAAGGGATTTAATCTTTGGATGGTTAATACTTAGTACTCTTTCCTCCACTCTTACCAATACACAAGTTGGAAACCAAACCACACTTGCCTTTCCCTGATGATATGCCTAATCCAAACCATCTCTTCTCTCCACTTCTTCCCCAGGGTACTCCTTTTCCCATCCACTTCCCTGTACTGCCAGGCGAGGACTTACTTTTTAGGGGTAAGATAACCACACTAGTTTACACTAAAAGACTAATAGTTCAGAACAATACTACTTAAAAAGAACAGCATGCCTACAAAATGGCCCAGTCTTCCCACTCAGAAGATATTTACCCAAGAGAAACAAACATATATCCACAAAAGATGTGTTCAGAAATGTTCACAGCCATTTTATTTTTAATAGTTAAGGTCTGTAAACAACTCAAATCTCCATCAACAGATGAATGGATAAACAATTGTGGTATTATTAGCTGTACCTGGAAAAGTAATCAGTGGTAAAACACACACACACACAAAAAAGCCACAACCATGAATTGTTGATATATATGCAACGACAGAGATGAATCACAAAACTATTATGCTGAGTGAAAAAAGCCAGATCCACCTAAAAGGAAACCCAAAGAACATAGCTCTATGATTCCTTTTATATAACATTTGAGAAAATTCAAATCATTCTTTAGTGATAGAAAGCAGATTAGTTGCTAGGAGGCATAGAGAGTAGGATGCATTATAAAGGGGCACAAAAAATTTTTAGAATAATAGATATATTTGTTCCCTTGATTTTGGTCATGGTTTTACAAGTGTAAACATATGTCAAAACCAATAAAGTAGAATAATTTATATGTATAATTTAATGTACTTCAATTATAACTCAATAAATTTTAAGAAAAAAGAGGTCTTTCTAGCTTCAAGTAATTAAAATAGATCCTTATTTGACCAAACGAATAAATAAATGATAGGCTCCATAATGTGAAATTTGTGGCTGAAGGCCTTTCCAGTTATTTTATTATTTTATTATTCCAGAGATTTATTAACGTCTGCTGTGTCTACATATAAGATTTCCTATGTGGTTCTAAACATGTCAAGATTAGTTATGGAATGTTTGCAAATCACTTCATGAAGAGGACACCTGAAAAAAACTGAGTGTGTTTAGAATAGAGGCATAATTTCCAAAGTGTATTATTGGAACACTAATTCTTTGGGATATTAATATCTATTACTTAAGGATTTTGAAACCATTCCTTGAGAAGTCACAGGGCACATTAGTGTATTAAAGTCTCTGAGAGGTGCTCAAGCCAAGAAACCAGTTTAAATTTGAACAGATATTTCCTCAAACATTTAACTAGAGAACTTCTCTTATAACAGAAGGTGAAAAATATATTCAAAAGACCTGAGAGGGTAAACAGTTGACTTCAGTCATTTAAAGATAAACTAGAAACCCAGACAACTTGAACAATGGTATATTTATTCTGGCAATATGACCCTGTTACTGTCCTTTTAGGCCAAACTGTGATCTCACTGAATCTCATCTGTAAACTAGGGAGAATCAATTCAATGCTTTTTAATGTTCTCTCAGACTTATGAAGTTATCTTTTTTATGCAAAGAATTCATCTTTTTTTCTATCTCCCAGAAGTATAAAAATACCAGAGTTTATAATTTACAAAGTAATAGACTTCAGGTCAGTGAAGAAGAAAAAATTACATATAACTAACAATAAAAAAATATTGCAATTAGAGTGGTCCAAAAGAAGGGGTGGGGTGATATCTTAAGAAATTATGATTTTTTTTGGTCACTGGAATTAAACAGAGTTTGGCCAAAAAATTACCTAGGATATTGTAGAGAAGGCCTATGCATCAAATAGTAGAGTTAAACAAGTGGCTTTCATTCTTTCAATGAATATTTTCTGGGCATCTATAGTGTACCAGAGAAAAAATGAATCCTGCTCTACAAGAGATTTCATTCTAGTCTGGGAGATGAGACACACAGGTAATTGCAAGTAGGGCATTATGTGCTAAAAGAGAGCTAAGCTTTATATGTTTTTGAGGTACATCAAAGGTTACTGTAACCTAGCCTGAAATGACAGCTTAGCTAAATCTGAGAATATTAGCCTCTATTCCTACACATAGTCCAAGAGTCAGGAAGCACAGGTTGGAAATTATTGGGTTAGTCTAACTTCACTGGGCAAAGTCACTTGCCAAAGTGAAGTACAGTGTGAACTCTTTGAGTCCTTCAAGTTATGAAGCAAAACCTATACTCGTTTCCTTAGAAAAAGACATGCATAAATTTTATTTTTAGTGCTTTTTATCTATGCATATAAGATCCATTAATTCATAGCCTTTAAATGAATTATTTCACTGTACTGCCATTTCTAGAAGAAAATAAGAGATCATTTTCATTCATACACAGATATGGTCAGAAATATACTATCTTGTATTTAATGTCCTATTCTTTCCAACCAGAACCATAACTGGAACCAAAATTGTATGTTTATGAGGGTTTTTCTAATAGGAATTGGATATTGTGCATTTACCAAATTTGGTGACAGGTAGTAAGTATTTTTGAGTGAATGAGTAATCCAATCTTTTAAATTTATTTTATTTCTTAAATTCTTAATTGCAATATTTTAAATATTTTTTAATTTAGTGAGTCTAACTATACCATATTTTGTGTCACTTGCACTGCCTTTATTTTCTATAAGATAATCTTAATTTCTCAGACCTAGGTTACACTGAAAATTTTTAAAGACAGAGAGAGAAAAGACTATGTAACATTAAACAAATTAAAATCCAAGAAACATGTCAATCAATACAAAAATATTCTTTATCACTAGAACAACTGAAAGCATGTATGCAGTTCTTCATCGGGAGCTAAATATTTTCTAGGCGCTATGCCTGACAAAATTCAAAGATAGCTATAAAACAGTTTTAGACAGAGATGTATTAGTAAAACAAAACTAGATTAAGCCTATTTGTAGAAAGCAATGTCACTTATCCCATTACTATCCTTAGATTCTGCCTTGTTCTCTCACCTGCTACTATTCAGTGGGGTCATTCAGATGCCAAAGGAGCTCTAGCCTCATGCTTAGAGGGGTCCCATCCCTCTTTCCAAGCTGAACCCCTGGGAAATGGATGGCTTGCTTTCATTAAATGATGTGGACTGAGACACCAAATGATGCTAACATGCTGATTTTGGGTGATGCATGTGGTTTGCACTAACAGAAACTCCACAAAAATATTTGCCTGGGTCCTTGCATGCCCTTGGAACAGCACTGTCCCACCCTGGAAAAGTTCATGTTCAAGTGGAAAAGACAGTCATATGTAAGGAAATAAATTATTTGACAACATAGTATTTTTACTATGTATCTTTAGAAACACAGATCAAGAAGAGACCAGCTCTGCCTAGTGGAATGCAGGAGGAATTTGTGCAAGGCAGCTGAGACTTAAAGGTTGAGTAGGAGTTTACCAAGTAATAAAAAGACAGAAAGCTAAGAGAGTAGGCAAATACAGGTGACAGTGAGAAGTTATGCTCCAGAGGTCTGTTGAGATGCTCCATAAGGGTAAAACAGAAGCTCCCAAGGTCAATAGGAAGATTAATAAAGCACATTGCCAGATCCCAGCCCAACAGACTCTCTAGGATAGAGCCAGGAAATTTGTGTTTTTAAGTATAGTCTCTACTTAATCCAACATCAGTCATGAAAATCTCTGGGAAAGAGCAGAAGTGATGGGGCTTCATGCATAGGTGGAAAGATCACCTGTTTATATAGACCAGTGATGGCGAACCTATCACACGTGTGTCAGAGGTGACAGGCGAACTCATCTTTTTGGTTGATTTTTCTCTGTTAAATGGCATTTAAATATATAAAATAAATATAAAATAAATATTTTTGATTTTAAGTCTTTGTTTTACTATGGTTGCAAATATCAAAAAATTTCTATATGTGACACGGCACCAGAGTTAAGTTAGGGTTTTTCAAAATGCTGACACGCCGAGCTCAAAAGGTTCGCCATCACTAATATAGACACTAGAGGCTCAGTGTGCGAAATCGCACAAAACCCAGAGCCGCCGCTTTGGCAGGACCCCAGACCTGCCATGTGCGAGTAGCTCGCCACTGCAAGCCACTGCGCCATGCGAGCTGTGAGCCCCACCTCGCCACGCAAGCCACGAGCACTGCCTTGCCATGTGAGCTGTGAGCCCTGCCTCCCCACCTCAAGCACTCGCGGGCCCGGGGAGGGACCAAGAAGTGCTCCATGCACCTCCTGGTGACCATCGCACAAGACCCAGAGCGCCACTTTGGCGGGACCCCAGACCTGCCATGTGCGAGTAGCTTGCCACTGCAAGCCACTGCACCATGCGACCTGCGAGCCCCGCCTCCCCACCTCAAGCACTCGCGGGCCGGGGGAGGGACCAAGAAATGCTCCATGCACCTCCTGGTGACTGGTTATTTGGTCTTTCTGGTGTTTCAGCATTATGGCCACTGGCCTTTTATTATAGATATTAACTATACTAAGTGTCTTAATGTAACATTTTTATCATATAAAAACATTTTTTATATCTTTGTAAACTAAACATTTAAAAACATTTCAAGTGTTCCAAGGCTTCAACTATGCTGTGTGCTGTAGAAAATAATATCAAAACAAAGTTTTTATTTATTTCTCTTACATTATTCCATATGAACCAAAAACTACATTGATTTATACATAAGGTTTTATTTTTCTGCTTTTTCTTCCCTCCATTTCTCATCCAACTCTTAGGACTTAAATAAAGAACCATGTTTCAATGAACAAAATTGTAAAAAAAAAACAAAACTAAACTGCATTCCTAAAAGAAAAAGGTGAAATACTTTGCAAAGGGCAAATATCATAAGCCAGAGACAATATATATATATATATATATATATATATATATATATATACAAGACCAGCGACTAGAATGGTGGAATTACCAGAATGACTGGAACGACCGGTGGCTATGACACACATTGCAGCAGCCAAAGAGCCTGATCTGGGCCCTGATCGCCCACCCATCCCCAGCTGGCCCGGCCCCCAATCGGCCCCCAACTCCACGAGCGGAGGCAGGACCAGCCGCCAACTGCCCGCAACCCTCACCCCCTGCCAGCCTGATGGGCTCCCATCGGGGTGGGCAGGCCAGACCTCACCCGTGCACGAATTCCTGCACTGGGCCTCTAGTATTTTATAAATCTAAACATCCATATAATTGTGACATGGATGGGGAAATCAACTGATATATTGTTCTTTTTCATCATAAAATTATTAAAAAGAAAAACAATGCATTTGACAGGGCCATGCCTCAGTTCCATACACAACTCTGATCCTTAGTAGGATGTTACAGCCAAGCCTTTATGATACACCATCTCAACTACCCACAAGTCCTAATCTCTGAAATAGGTGCTAAAAATCCTCCAAAATACAGTTTTCTCCTTTCATCGGTACAAATGTAAAGTTGAAAAGAGTAAAATTTTGGTATAAATTTTACTAACATCACAGCAAAATTTTTGGATATTCATATGTGCTTTGAATAACAAATTAACAGTCTAGACTGAGATTTCATGGACAATATGCTTGAGAAGAAAAAGTAAATTACAAATAAAAAGGGGACACAGTATAAGAAAAATAACTGATTTTAATGACTGTTTCTCCTGTTTTATGGATTTGAAGATTATAAAATATCCTACTAAATTACTGAATTATCAAAGCTACAATGATGCCCAGAGTGTTTGGTGTTCCTTTCCAGCACCTTGAGGCCAGAAATCTATTCCGCATGTATTATCTCCCACAGTACTTGCCACAGCAGTGTGCACAAAACAGGTCCTCAAGCCAATGGCATTACATTCCTTTCATTGGGAGAACATAAGAAAAACAAATGCATTTGCTTACTTTTTCTCTTCATTCTAACCACAACTGTTCGCCTTGTCCCTCTGTTGTCATTGCAACTTTATGCTTGAACTCCTCCTACTATTTGTTCTGATATGCAAACGTCTATATGTTATATTTTAACATACGTCTAACTGCCATACAAAAATTTCAAAAATTTTCCTGAATCTTAAGAAAGAGCAATGAATAACAACTTACCACTTGTGAAGAGAAGTTTTCTAGGATCCTGAGAAAAAAGGGGGGGAAAATATTTGACTGAAAGATAAAACATTGGTAATATCAAATTCTACAAGGAATTGGGATGGGTATAAAGATCCCTGATTTAAGCATTTAGAATACTATTCTCCCAATGGAAGTAAGACTCAAGTTTTGTAATGGTTTCATGATGCTAAAGGAGACTATAACAAGTACAAATTCAACTCAGAGAAGTCTATCCATCTGAAAAATGAGAGGATGAGGAATGAGAGGGCTTACGCTTTCATCTTGATGGCTAATTAAAAGCCAGGGGCTGTGGTCTGAAGTCCACTCTTTGACCAAATTGAAACTCAATATTTTTGGCTCTAATGTGGAAACATTAATACCAGGATATTCAAACTGCACCAACAATGTGTCAAGACAGTGGGAATCAAAAGTGATAAAACATCCAGGAAGGGTTGTACACTGTAAATTCAGTGCAGAGACTACTAATTGAGAATTTATGTTTCAAATATTGTGAAAAGTAGTGAGGATAAAAAGGTCCCCGTTACTCAGAAATGTAAAACATTAATATTGTGTTTTATTTAAACTACTTATCTCATGGTGTAATGAACTTTAGTCAACTGCTTTTCTAACTTCTGGGAAACTTAGATTAATCCCCAGTAAATTTATGGATTTATTTCTTTCAGCCTAATGGTGCTTGATACTGCTCAACTTGTGAATTTCTGTCCTAAGCCTCCAGTGAGACTGGGATCAGGCCAGGTATATACAAAGTAGGAAGCCTTTGTCTGATACAATTTCAGGGGCACTGAGTAAGGACCACTGGCTTAGGAATAGCTCCTCATCCGGTTTAGGTCAATTGACTTCTACACCTGGCTAAAGAGTAATATAGAGCAACCAAATATATAAAGAACTGCTAAAAATAGAAGATGAGCTGAATGGAGTGGAATAAATAGCTATGGAAACTCAGAAGATGGAACAATTAATATGGCCACAGAAGAAAGATGGAATGTGAGAGTAAGAGATGGTTTCACAGATGACAAAATGAGGCGGATTCAACTAGGCCAAGAATTTGCAACCATCACAAGTTCAAGATGGGTCACTGAAGACCTGGAGGAGGCAGACTGGAAACACAAAGCAAGAACAATACAGTGAAGGGCACAAACCCATCCTTTTCAAAGACAATTCATGGAAGAATATATCTGTTTATGCATACAATGTATGTGTGTGTATTTTTCATCTTTATCTAGCACACATTGCCTTTATCTACAAGGTGCTCAAAAATATTTATTTTAAAAAAATAGGAAAGGGACAATGGAAGGAAAGAACTAAAGAAAGGAGAAATACAAATTTAAAAAATTAGTTACCTTTTTTCATCCATCAGTTTGGCAAAATGTTTTTTTTTAAAGTGAGGTGTAGAAAAAAGCATTCTGATAAACTTGGTAGAAGTGTGTCAACTGGTGAAGCCTTTTTGAAAGGAAATTTGGCAATATCCATTAAAAATTAAAAATGAGTATGCCTTTGAAACCAAATGCTACTTCTATGAAAATGCCTAGCAGTAATGTGCCAAAAAAAATAATTTATTGGCAAGTGGATCGTAAGAAAAACTAGAAATCAACCTAAACATCTGTGAATAAGGAAAAGGCTAAAAAGATATAATAGCCTGTTAATAAGAAGGGAATAAGATATATATTTCTGATATAGCAAGTCACATTACATATATTTATGGAAACAAGTAAATTGCTGAGAAATCTGGATCAAAAAATACCACTTAAAATATCTTAAGAGAAAACATAAAATAATTAACTGTGGCTATTTTGGGAGGAGAAGCTTTTATTTTTCATATACTTGATAGTTTTAAACAATTTTACACTGAGCATATATCCCTTTTAAAATAAAAAATAAATTTAATGACTACTAGTATTGAAATATTAAACAAATTATATTACATTTTTAAAGTAATATAAGCAGTATAGTTATTAAAGATATATGAATTATAAAAACAAAAGAGAGAAGCAAAGAAGGCAAAGTTAAAAAAGGAAATTGCAGAGGATAGAGGGATGGATGGATGCAGTGGTAAATGGGGAAGCGATGGCTCTGATCTGAAATCATTACATGAAAGAGCTTCCATTGTCCTGCTACAAAGTTGGACTTTTCAGTGGTTTTTAATGCCGGGTGCACACTACAATCACCCAGTGAGCTCTTTAAAAATAACAATGCCTGCCCAGCCGGTGTGGCTCAGTGGTTGACCATCAATCTATGAACCAGGAGATCAAGGCACATGCCTAGGCTCGATCCCCAGTTGGGGGCATGCAGGAGGCAGCCAATCAATGATTCTCACTCATCATTGATGTTTCCCTCTCTTGCTCCCTCTCTCTTCCTCTCTGAAAATCAATTAAAAAAATACATTTTGAAAAAATAACAATGCCTGACCCCAAACCAGATCAATTAAATCATACTGGTGGCTTCAAAAACACTATTATAGTCAAAGGATTTACCAAAGGCTGCTTGCGATTTGGGTTTTGAGATTTGTTTCTATGTTTGTTGTTATTTTTTTGTTTTGTTTTGGGAGGGAGGTCAAACATATGAGCGGTATTAATCTAGCTAAAACTGGTGATACGTGGTAGAGTAAACAGAGTGAGAGAGTGAGAGGAGATGGGGAATAACTCATTAAGTCACTACCAGCCTTAGCAGAACAGGCAGGGTTCTGATCAAATGGAAAACAGAGCAGTGGGGTTTTAATGCCGTCTTGGCATGAAGCAAGGGCTGCCCGAGGACAGAAAGTACTGAGCAACAGGATCCAACCAGGGCTGTGCATATGCTGCTCATCAGGCTCTGGCCTGGCCCCTCCCACACATGATTTCATTTCATGGGCGGCTGCACGTGGAGAAAGGCACCCCTAAGACAGGCATTGCTTGCTACAGAATTCAGCTCAAGGTCACCTGTTTGAGATAAAAAACAAAACAAATGACTGAATCATTAAAACTC